GCTGTTTTTGATAAATAAAAAAAACATTTTTTTGTATAAATTCACTATTTTTGCCGTCACGTAATTAGCGATGAATTTTTTAATGATTATTTTCATAGTGAGCGTATCTCTTTTATTAAATAGTTGTGTTTCATTGAATTTGGTGAGCATGCAGTAATGTTGCAATGCCTTTTACAGAGGTACCTGTCCGTAACCCTTATTGTATCCTGAAACTGAACTATACATTAAAAATACAACATGAAATTTGTGATTATTAATAATTTTTGAATTAATACTTATTATTGTTTTCAGGTTGGATCCCCAAGTTCTGAATTAGAACAAAAACATGCGAGGATATCCTGGCCATGAACAGCAATTAAACTTTACAGGTGTATGAAGTAATGAATATTTTGTTAGAGGTTTCCAACAGATCATTTCCTTGTATGCTCTTAAAGCAAGCAGTCCACAGCATGACACAAATCGCAGTAGTCACCAAAAATTAATGTGATCTTTCACACCTTTTGTTTAAAGGGATATTTTCCCCTAGAATTTTAGAGTATATTATGATAGTAAGTGCATAAATAATAACCTACAAATTTATGTAATTACCCATTCACGTTTGTCATAAAACAACAGTGAATTTTGAAATCTTTTATTTTGACTGCTGACATGATACCGCGCGATTGTGCTGACACCCTGAAAAAGTTGCGATTTTTCTGATTTATTTTGCACGTTACAGACTGATGGCTAATCACAAAAGTGCAATTATATTTAAACCTAACTGCTATTTAATTTTAACCAAACGAATTTTATTTTAGGACAAATTCGTCCAAATTTTAACTGAAACTAAGTGTGGTTTATAAATATTGCAATCCTTCTCCTCTTAAAGTAATAAATAAGAAACACCCTCGGTCTGTAGCCTGCAGCCGAAATGTGACTTTGCGCAACTGTTTCAGTGGATGCGCTTCCAGTGGCGCCACCGTCGTTGTAAGCAACGGTATAGCCGTCAATTTTAAAACATTAAAAAATTTTATTTCTATTAGAGTATTGAACCATAAAACTTTTAATATAGCGTAATTTTAACATATTTTAACTGAAAATATCCAAAGAACCTAGAGTAATGTATCCCTTTAATGACTTCTCTGTATTGCAACCTGTGTCAAACTTGCGTAAAATAGTTTAACAATCATGTTTTTGAAGCTGTTGCTATCTCAAAGAATGTTGCACGTTGTAATAAAAAGAGTGTGTTTCATATGTGCAGTATGTGAATTATTCGTTAAAATTTTATACTAATTAGTATTGTAGTGGTATTCCATTTACCTGGTAGAAAGCTATGTGACCATGTGTTTCTGCTCTTCTCGCTTCCCCTCAGCTGACGTATGGGTGTTGTCAGTATATGTATGCATAAACGCTACAAAAATTTCGTATATGAACACCATACACGATATAATTTATATTCTTTAATGTTAGACAGTCTTAGTGTCTTCCACACCATGCACACGCGGCCAAGAAATGCATGTCTGATCATGAAATCCGCTCGAAAACGTGTCCTTAATATGCGCGCACACACAAAAACACGCACGCCCGAATGCTCGCACGAGCGCACGCACACGCACGCACGCACGCACGCACGAATGCTCGCACACACACACCCGCACGCGCACGCACACGCACGCATGCATGCACACAACGCACACACACACGCATGCACACAACACACACACACACACACACACACACACACACACACACACACACACACACACACACACGCACACAAACGCACACATCTGCACACGCACGCGCACACACGCACGCACGCACGCACGCACGCGGACCGGTGTTTACCCTGCTCCAATCACCTTACAGCCGGACAGACAACTACTGACCAACAATCAAACGACACAAGCCCGGCGACACAAACGACACAAACAAAGAAACGCGTCCCACATTTTCATTTTAACCGTTTCACCAATTTAATACAATTTTACATACACCGACGTACGCGCGGTGGGATGGGTGAGGTACCTGCGGCGTGACCGGTGACGAATTGTGATGTTGACCACGAAACGATGACCACTGTTCTACAAGCGACTATATAAATAGCTAACCGCCTTCAGAGCAGCCGCTATTTCGTCGTGGTGTACTGGTAACGCGACCAACGCCAGAACGAAAGAGAGAGAAGAGAGTCAGCTCGTCGATTCACAAGGTAAGCTGCAATAGCATCCTCTGTGAGATAATAGTGAGAAGGGGAGAGGAGGAGGAGGAGAGAGGAAGTGAGACTTCTTATTCATGTAGCTGCAGTAGCAACTAGTGAGAGACATGAGAGGAGACGATGGGGGAGGAGGAGGAAGAAGAGAGGGGGAGGAGGAGGAAGAAGAGAGGTAGAGGGGGTTATGTTAGGCTTCCTTGCATTCGTTCCTAGTCACCAGATACGTATAGCCCCACAAATTTATTTATTTATTTATTAACTTGTTTATTTATTTATTCATTCATTCATTCATTTAATGACGGTACACTGGCAGTAAATAACAACGCGAGCTTGCAAGCTACTTGCAACCGTCATCAGTAAATTGGTCATTAGAACTAATTAACCGTTCTAATTAGAATCACACCGTACCCTCGTTCGAACAGACATCTATAGTAAGGTCGTGCAAAAAGCCAACGTGTGAACAAATAAACGTCTCATGATCTAAATCGTACTTGTTTGCTCTACAGGTAAATATATCGAACTTCGACAAAGCGAAACGAAGGGGCAAACCTAAACAAAAACAAGATGCAACTTGGAGGAAAGAAAATAAACTGGAGAATGGTGGTCGCTGCACTGCTGGTAAGCAGATGCCTGCATATTCTAATCAGAGTGAGAGTCATTGATTCTCGTGGCCAATGAGTGTGCGTGCGTGCGTGACCTTCATAATAACAGTCAGTCCTAGTGTAAGTGATTGAGTAGGCATCTTAACTACTTCAGTGTTTTATTACATCCTTGATCTGGAAGACTGTACCCAGCTAAATGAAGCTCCCATCGAGCGACACCACCAAAGTTTAAAACAAAGTAACTGTCAAAATTCTGCCAGTGACCAGTCACCTTCTAAGGTCAATAGGTTTAACCATATTACTTTTTCCTGCAGGCTGCATATTTCAGAACGATCATCTGATTCACAACACGACAGGCTCAACGTGAATAGTAAGGCTGTATCACGGTTAAAACCTCCTCCAGCAGCAAGCAGTGGTGCCCATAAATTGATCACGTTAGGTGGCAGCTTAACACAGAGTCGAGCAGAGGAGCTAAAGTTGAAAAGACAGCCAGTTGCGTTTTCCAGTAACAGCAGTGAAGAGACAGTTTGTCATGTGAGTGAAGTAGCGAATGCATCAAAGACTTCAGATGGTAAAACTGATGCTGAGTTGTTGAGGTGTCAGAAGCATCTGGTGAAAGTTGACAGAACATTCATCACTCCGTGTACAGGGATTGCCTCCACGTTTAAGCAACAAGGTCATGATCAACAGAACTTACACAGCGAGGAACTGCCCAACAACAAACGAAAACTAGTGACGATTGAAAAATATGAAAGGGTGATTTTAGACGATGAGCAGGTGACTTCAGAGGAAGCTCGAAAAAAACACCGCAGTGCCAACCCAGCTAAGGTTCTTAGCGGTGAAAAGAAGCCTGTGTTAAAGAGGGTAGGCCATGTTGTTCATTAGTATTTAACTGTACAGATGACACAGTTATTATACATTGTCTCTGAAGGGCATACATTCAGGGTTACAGACAGGTACCTCTGTAAAGGGCATTGCAACATATAACTGCTTACCAAATTCATTCAAACACATATCTATTTCATAAAAGAGATGTCTCTTTACGCTCACGATGAAAATAATCATTAAAAAATTCATCGCTAATTACGTGATGGCAAAAATTGTAAATTTATACAAACAAATTTCTTTTCTTATTTCTCAAAAACAGCAAAGAGTTGGGACCTAAACTTTTAGCCCTAAGTTGTTCATAGTACGTATGAACTAAAAAATAGTCCCTGGAATTTTTTTTCAATGTTTTATTTTAGGATATAAGTTGAAAAGATGCATGAAAATCTGTATTTTTTTTATAAGATACAACAATATCATAAATAAGGAGCCATAACTTCTAAAATAAAACATTAAAAAAAAATTCCAGGGACACTTTTTTAGTTTATACTATGAACAACTTATGGCTAAAAGTTTAGGTCCCAACCCTTTGCTGTTTTTGAGAAATAAAAAAAGAATTTTTTTGTATAAATTTACTATTTTTGCCGTCACGTAATTAGCGATGAATTTTTTTAATTATCATTTTTATAGTGAGCGTATCTTTTTATTAAATAGATGTGTTTGATTGAATTTGGTGAGCAGTAATATTGCAATGCCCTTTACAGAGGTACCTGTCCGTAACCCTTATTGTATCCTGAAACTGAACTATACGTTAAAAATACAACACGCAATTTGTGATTATTCATAATTTTTGAATTAATACTTATTATTGTTTTCAGGTTGGATCCCCAAGTTCTGAATTAGAACAAAAACATGCGAGGATATCCTGGCCATGAACAGCAATTAAACTTTACAGGTGTATGAAATAATGAATATTTTGTTAGAGGTTTCCAACAGATCATTTCCCTGTATGCTCTTAAAGCAAGCAGTCCACAGCATGACACAAATCGCAGTAGTCACCAAAAATTAATGTGATCTTTCACACCTTTTGTTTAAAGGGATATTTTCCCCTAGAATTTTAGAGTATATTATGATAGTAAGTGCATAAATAATAACCTACAAATTTATGTAATTACCCATTCACGTTTGTCATAAAACAACAGTGAATTTTGAAATCTTTTATTTTGACTGCTGACATGATACCGCGCGATTGTGCTGACACCCCGAAAAAGTTGCGATTTTTCTGATTTATTTTGCACGTTACAGACTGATGGCTAATCACAAAAGTGCAATTATATTTAAACCTAACTGCTATTTAATTTTAACCAAACGAATTTTATTTTAGGACAAATTCGTCCAAATTTTAACTGAAACTAAGTGTGGTTTATAAATATTGCAATCCTTCTCCTCTTAAAGTAATAAATAAGAAACACCCTCGGTCTGTAGCCTGCAGCCGAAATGTGACTTTGCGCAACTGTTTCAGTGGATGCGCTTCCAGTGGCGCCACCGTCGTTGTAAGCAACGGTATAGCCGTCAATTTTAAAACATTAAAAAATTTTATTTCTATTAGAGTATTGAACCATAAAACTTTTAATATAGCGTAATTTTAACATATTTTAACTGAAAATATCCAAAGAACCTAGAGTAATGTATCCCTTTAATGACTTCTCTGTATTGCAACCTGTGTCAAACTTGCGTAAAATAGTTTAACAATCATGTTTTTGAAGCTGTTGCTATCTCAAAGAATGTTGCACGTTGTAATAAAAAGAGTGTGTTTCATATGTGCAGTATGTGAATTATTCGTTAAAATTTTATACTAATTAGTATTGTAGTGGTATTCCATTTACCTGGTAGAAAGCTATGTGACCATGTGTTTCTGCTCTTCTCGCTTCCCCTCAGCTGACGTATGGGTGTTGTCAGTATATGTATGCATAAACGCTACAAAAATTTCGTATATGAACACCATACACGATATAATTTATATTCTTTAATGTTAGACAGTCTTAGTGTCTTCCACACCATGCACACGCGGCCAAGAAATGCATGTCTGATCATGAAATCCGCTCGAAAACGTGTCCTTAATATGCGCGCACACACAAAAACACGCACGCTTGTTATGTGGTATTTGTGTAGACATCAGACATATACAAAGTATAGCAGGACAGGGCGGATCAAAGGGTTTGGTGAGCAGTTTCCATAGTTCTAGTCACAGCTAGGGGGTCCCGGGGGCATGCCCCCCCGACAATTTAAAAAAAAGAAGCTATATTTTGGTGGCATTCGTGAATTTTGAGGGTCAATTCTGAAGATACCCAGCCTGTGACCGCGTTTCTGAATCGGTGCAAACCGGCCTAAATCCGCGCCTGGTATAGTCCTTCATAAAACAGTCAGTCCTAGTGTAAGTGATTGAGTAGGCATCCTTAACTACTCAGTGTTTTATTACAGTTCTTGATCTGGAAGACTGTACCCAGCTAAATGAAGCTCCCATCGAGCGACACCACCAAAGTTTAAAACAAAGTAACTGTCAAAATTCTGCCAGTGACCAGTCACCTTCTAAGGTCAATAGGTTTAACCATATTACTTTTTCCTGCAGGCTGCATTTCAGAACGATCATCTGATTCACAACACGACAGGCTCACGTGAATAGTAAGGCTGTATCACGGTTAAAACCTCCTCCAGCAGCAAGCAGTGGTGCCCATAAATTGATCACGTTAGGTGGCAGCTTAACACAGAGTCGAGCAGAGGAACTAAAGTTGATATGTGCATGCATGTCTGTGCATGAATGTACGTGTGCTTGCGGGCATGTGTGTAAACACTTGCTTGCTTGTATGTGTATACATGTATATAATAGTTAGAAATGTTCACCTATTGCATAAATTCACTCTCATCAACGTAGATGTTTACTTGATTGATTGCAGAGCAACTAGAAGGGGAAAACGACTGCACAGATTGCAACACTTAGCCAACCAGCGATTAAGAAAAAGCACTGTTGAGGAAACTATAATTGGGAAAAAGTAAGTTACTAAATGTGTTCGTCTTCAGCAATTTACCTTATGAATAACATCACAAAGAAGTAACAACAATATCAAGGTTTTCTAGTTACATTACTTACATGGAACCTGTCACTTACAAAAATGACTAATTACTAAATGTGTAAATGTTTTATGACATTTATACTAGAATGCACATAGCAATCATCATCTTGATGGAAACATAAGCAGGTAATTCTCACTGAATAGATGAATATTTTCTAAAGAAATGTTAACTTTGTTACAATGTTTTATAATTAGCTGCTTTCCTACACTAATGCGTGGCCACACTAGCTACTTTTAAAGTCAACCC